TTTTTTTTTTTTTTTTTTTTTTTTTTTTTTTTTTTTTTTTTTTAATCGTAGTCGGCTCATCGCGAAGCTGATGATGAAAAACAACGAAGTGGCAAATTGATCGTCCCCTCGCTACAACATCAATACTCGTCTTGCAAAATTTTATTAATTATCTCTCGTTTATCTCGGCAAAACCATTGTATCTCTGTATACTCGTGTACATGCAATAACAATTAAGTATATCTTTCTTTTATTCTTTATACACTCCGCCTCGATCTATCTAATCCGATCGGAGACAATTTATTGCCACTTCATCGGAAAAATTAGGTCGTTCAAAGAAACGATCGGCTCGTCACGGATATATATATATATATATATATATATACGCACACACATATATATATCCATATATAAGTAAAAAAAAGCGATCAGATTAGGCTTTCCAGTTTTCAAAGGTTGAAGGGCAGTGTACGTCGATGGTGCCGATTCGATCATATCTCATCGTTGAAATTTTATACATACATATATATATGTATCATCTCTTTCTCTTTTTTTTTTTATCTTTATTGTACGCGAATGATGAAGAAGAAAATGGCGGTTCGTTACATTCGGTTTGAAACTGGAACAATAAGATATTACCATTATCTTTACGTGTTTGCACAAGAGGCAAATCTCTTGACCAAAATCAAAAGAGGGAAGAAACGCGTGGAGGGAACGTGTGGTCGTACGATCGATAATCGACACGAGGCTCGAACGTCGGGGAACAATGGAAAATTTGACGAAAGGATAGACGCGTGTATCGTATACCGATCCATTGCGATCATATATAGGAAACAATATCTCTCTTTCTCTCTCTCTCTCTCTCGAGGGGACACGATCATTCTCCTCGTCCGTTTCTACATAGAATTTATAATAAATGCAAACACTATATTTGTAATATCCTTAGCCGGTCGATATTTACATTGGTAAAACATGTCTCAATTCTTCCCCTCCTCTGTAATCGTTCTAACTCTGCCTATTTTATTTTCATCCTCTTTTCTCTTTTCTTTTTGTTTGTACATTTTACAAATGCCGTATCCCAAGCTGCATCTTTTTCTTTTCTTCTTTTTTTTAATTATTATTATTATTATTATATAAAAAAGGCGCGCCCGTTTCGTAGTAATATAATAATTTTCTTCGAGCGCGGTTTCTTCAAGAGAGAGCCATGAAAACTAGAAAGCCGTGTATAACCGTATTCAATGTCCAAGTTTTATCGTCGTGTTTCGTGCTTCTTTCGCGCGTCGTCCACGAACTTTAAATCTCCCCCCCCCCTTGCTCGAAAAAAACTTCGTTCCAACCAAGCGAATGCAAACGGTTTCGAAATTCGAACGCGCTGAATTTCGATAATTTGGACAATTTTTAAGAGAAAAACACGCTCGAGTCGATGATAATGATAATAAAATGCCGATGATAAGCAAATGATAAAATCATTTGTTCGAATTTCGAAATGCGAATTACGTTCGAAGATAGATAGATTTAACCCTCGAGTACGCTCTATTCGCACGCTAGAGCCAACCGAAACGCATGCACGCGATTTATTTATTCACGATATATTGCTTCTTTTCCCTGCGCGTGATTGCGATTAAAAGAAATATGTTAATAACTGTTAGATCGAGACACGAAAAAAAATGTGTAACGATGGATTCGCGTGGAAATCGTGCTCGAGAGTTCCAACATGGACGACAAACCGACTGGAATGAGAATTTCTAAGTTCAATTTCACAAACTTTTTACAAACTTATCCACTAGTTGCTTTAAGTATGTTATATGCGAGTTTTGAGAGTCGAATCGACGGGAAAAGAAAAATTAATTATGTTATAACGAACATATATCCTTGTGTCTCCGAGCAATCGTCGCTAACCATCGATATTCTTTTTTTCCTTTGAAAAAAAAGAGAAAGAAAAAAAAGAAAAAAAAAAAAAAAGAAAAAAAACGTTAGTATTTTTTTTTTTATTCGAAAGAACCGTGGCATGTCGAACGCAAGACGAAAGGAAAAAGTTATCCCAGACGATACGTACGCGTCTCGTCCGCTTCTATATCAAGTTAACTCTCATAAGCTGTCGTTTGCAAAAATACGAAACCGTCATCGTACCATCGTTCTTCTTTCTTTTCTCCTTTTCTCTGTCTCCTTCGCCTTCCTCTCGCTCTTTTTTTTTCCGCCCATCGTTTCTTCGTTCTATATATATATATACATATATGTATATATGTATATGTACTATATATATATATATATAGTTTCTTTTTTGTTCCGAACATCGCGACTCGTAATCGATCGTGTATCTTTATTTACACAGTGCTCTAAACGATCCATTATAATTATAACCGCGT